TTCCCTTCCTCTCTTTCTTTCTCACCTCCGCTCGCTCACCCAGCTCCGAAGGCCTCTTTCGTAAGGCCTCCCGCCCCCCAAAAGCTGCAATGTCAGATAGGACAGCGCCGAGAGAGCGGGAGCGAGAAAAGCTTGCAAAAATTAGCCTATAAAAGTCAGCCTAGCGTGACTGCTTTGGAAGGGTTTTCAGCAGATAATGGCATCTCAGTCTTGAACGGGGAGATAACTCTTTCGCGCCGCATCCAAGAGCCATTAGCCAGAATTAAATAATAATTGAGCCGCAGAATGGCACCCAGGATCTGTCGGCGCGATCGCATCCGTTTGCTATAACCCCCAGGCGGGTATGAACTCCTTACCCAAGACGCTCGCATTGCTAAAGTTGCACAACTTAATGCTCCCATTGAAAACAGAGGGAGAGACCGGCATCATCCGGGATTGAGCTTTACAATGGAGAAACTTTATTTTCTGGTACAGGCACTGTGCGTAGTGGGGAGCGATAGGAAGCAGGCATTTTCATAGGCCTCGGTACCCCTATTAAGAGGGTGGGGGGGAAAGAGGGGGACAGGAGGAAGGGCTGAATCAGCCCTGCTACTTTGCAAAAGAAAGAAAGCTCACCCACACCATCAAGATATCCCCAGGCTCCTTGCCTGGAAAAAAATCTCTATGAAATTGTCTCTGTGACTTAAAGACTCCCCCCCCCCCCCCCCCCTTGCAAACCTTCTGGACCCAACTTGGGTGTCCAAAAGAAACTGGCCGCTTTCCCCCCTTGTCTTCCTGCAATAAAAATAACGCTGTCAGTCGCAACTCACGCCTTACCTTCGCAAAATGTCTAAAGGGAAAAGGCAGCATAACAGCCTAAGGCAGAAGAAAGTGCAAGACTGTTTGGCTAGCTGTTGCCCAACGTTTAAGGAGTCCCAAGAATGAAAATCAGAGAGGGAGGCAGTGGGCTGGAGAAAGGGAAACACGTGGCCCGTCCTCCTCCACTGCCGGTTACTACCGGGTGCAAAAGGGATCACGGGAGATGTAGTTTGGTCTCGGCGCCTGCAGGCGTCCAGTGCCTTTTGCAGCGATGCTTGCGCCGATCTTTAAAAACGCGTCGCTTGCTCGCTCTCTCTTTGTGTGTGTGGGTAAGTGAGTGAAAGAGAGACAGAACGCATAAAGAGTGAGAAGATGATAGAATTCATTTAAACCAAGCACAGTTTTGCCATTAATTTCAATAAGATTCCGACTAAATTAAGTTAATATGTTGCACCGACCGCATATCCAAACCGGGAGTGCTAGTGTCACTGAGCCAGCCGGACGATTGCTGTGCTCTTCTGTGATCAGGCTTTGCTGCCCGAATAACAGGTTAAAATTCAACAGGTGTAGCATTATGGATCACTGCCTTGTCATGGTGAGGGGGCTTGCCTAGTTTGATGAAGCTGTGAGTAAGGCCGTAAAGGGCCCCCCAAGACGGACAGGCCACAGCAGAGAACTCAGACCAAGCGTGATCCCCTGGAGAAGGAAATGGCAACCCACTCCAGTATGTTTGCCAAGAGGAAACCCCATGGACAGTATCAAAAGGCTAAAAGATATGACACCGGAAGATGAGCCCCTCAGGTCGGAAGGTGTCCAATATGCTACTGAGGATGCAACAAACATGAAATTGAGCAAACTTCAGAGGACAGCGGAAGACAGGAGGGCCTGGCGGGAGCTGGTCCATGGGGTCGCGAAGAGTCGGACTCGACTGTGCGACTAAACAGCAACCAACATTATTGAGTTTGTAAGTGTTGAGGGAGACAGAACCTGTTTGATTTCTTCCTGTAACTGTTAGTAATAGGAGCCCTGCCAAAAGAGGAAAACCAAAGTCAGGCAACCCCACATTTAATGGACTGACCAGGTTTTATCCCTCCGGGTGGCTCCAGCAATTAAGACAAGCAAAAACCCAATAGGTGTAGCATTTCTTGGCCTGGAAAGGAAGTTGCTGGCTAAAGAACTTGCTCCAGAATGTTACAAGAAAAGAACTAACACTCAGAAGTAAGCCCCATTTATTTCCTAAGGATTACTCCCAGGAAAGTGTTCCAACAGCTGTAGCCCAGGTGTGTCGAACTCATTTGTTATGAGGGCCGGATCTGACATAAAGGAGACCTTGTTGGGCTGGGCCACAGACGTGTGTCATAAAATGCAATGCCAGGTAGTGGAGATATAAACTTTGTAAAGGGCACAAACACAAAGGGGTTTTTTTAACTTACAATAAAAACATGCTTAAAACATTAGCACTGTTGCAATATTTTGTTTATTTAACAGTGTCTGGTAACTGACACTTCTTGCTCTGAATTATTGCATCAAAATGTCTGCGCTGTTGCAATCTTGAGTATGCTGTCCAGGTGTGTATCTGTAAGCTGCAAACCTACGATGACACAGCAGAACTGGACGAAGAAGCAGAAGACAGCCAGTTCCACTGCGGGCCTGATAGAAGAAGCCCTCCGGGGGCCACATGTTTGACACCCCTGCTGTAGCCCATGAATCCTTAATTATTTTGGGAAATACCAGATGGATCTTTCTTTGCATGAAATAAAAACTGATCAAACCAATGGGAAATCTGATATGAGAAAACTTAGGTTTGCATAGAGTTGCCGATTTTGGGTTTGGAAATTCCTGATGATTTGGGGATGGAGACTGGAGAGGGCAGAGTTTGGGAGGGTCCTAAAGGGAGGATAATGCTTTGGACTCCCAAGGTTTAGAATCCATCCTCCAAAGTAGCCATTTCCTCCATGGAAAGTCATCTGTCTAGTCTGGAGATCACAAGTAATTCTGGGAGATCTCCAGGCCCCACCTGGAGGTTGGCATCCAACAATTTTGGAATACTGCCCCTCTAGTGACCTACTGGTGTGTACCTGAAGGGCATCAGTGGGCAGAATGGCACTGTTGCAGCATCAAGAGACTGGCTAATATGAGTGATAATAATATATAGTGCTTCCCCCTAATGCCAAAATGGCTTCACCCACAAATAATTCTTACATCTATCTTGTCAGGATAGGCCAGAGCCATAATCCAGTCTTCATGTTGTTGTTCAGTCGCACAGTCGAGTTCGACTCTTCGTGACCCCATGGACCAAGTCACGCCAGGCCCTCCTGTCTTCTGCTGTCCTCTGAAGTTCACTCAATTTCATGTTCGTTGCATCTATGACACTGTCTAACCATCTCATCCTTTGCCGTCCCTGTCTTCTTTGACCTTCAATCTTTCCCAGCATCAGGGTCTTCTCCAGTGAGTGCTCCCTTCTCATTTGGTGGCCAAAGTATTTGAGCTTCAGTTTCGTTATCTGGCCTTCCAGGGAACAGTCAGGGTTGATTACTTTTAGGACTGACTGATTTGATCTTCTTGCAGTCCAAGGGACTCTCAAGAGTCTTCTCCAGCACCATAGTTCAAAAGAATCTATTCTTCGGCGCTCAGCCTTCCTTATAGTCCAACTCTCGCAGCCGTACATGACTACTGGGAATACCATTGCTTTGACCATGCGGACTTTTGTTGGCAGGGTGATGTCTCTACTTTTTATCATGCTGTTTAGGTTCGCCATCGCCATCGCCAGTCTTCATAGCTGTCAACAAATAGTGTTCCCAGCCACCAAGTGGAGGTCTCAGTATCTCCTGGAAATACAACTGTTCTCCGGGGAGAGCAGTTCCCCTGGAGAAAATGGCTACTTTGGAGGGTGGACCATATGGCATTATGTACCCTGCTGAGGTCCTTTTCCTTCCCAAACCCCACTCACCCCAGGCTGCACCCCCAAATCTCCAGGAATTTCCCAACCCAGAGGTAACAACTTTACAATAACTATTCCCTTCTTGAGTAAGTGGAGGCCAGTTATTGTTAGATGAGATGGATTTAGGGTTGCCAGCTCTGGGTTGGAAAATACCTGGAGGCTTTGGGGGTGGATCCAGGAGAGGGCAGGGTTAGGGGAGGTGAGGAACCTCACTATGGGACAATGCCATAGAATCCAACCTTCAAAGCAGCCATTTTCTCCAGGAGAGCTGATCTCTGTCAGCTGGAGATCAGTTGGAGCAGAAGAGATTGGTTTTATACCCTGCCCTTCACTACGTAAAGGAATCTTGAAGCGGTTTACAATCTCCTTCCTCTCTCCACAACAGACACTCTGTGAGGTAGGTGGGGCTGAGAGAGCTATGAGAGAACAGCTCCTGAGAGAACAGCTCTGAGAGAACTGGGACTGACCCATGGTCACCCAGCTGGATTCATGCGGAGGAGTGGGGAATCAAACCTGTTTCTCCAGATCAGAGTCTGCCACTCTTAACCACTACGCCAAACCGGCTCTCAGCAATGAATCCCAGAGTGTTTCACCATCTCCTTGAAAACTAGGCCTGTGCTTCAGCTTCAGCCTATCACCCCAGTTGCACAGAGGGGACCGATCCCAGGAAGGCCGGAAGACATCCTTCACTCTATTTTAGTCCTCAGGTAACTGTTTCCTAAGGAGTACTCATATCTATAGTTATTATGAGGCACTAAAAGTATATCCCCAACAATTGCTCTGAAAAGAGTGTCTGTGTATATATAAAAACATCACATGAACCTACTTTATACTGCATCAGACTTTTCATCTATCAGGGTCAATACTGTCTACTCTGACTGGCAGTCTACTCTGACTTCTCTGGGGTCCCTGGTGGGCAGGGGTCATTTCCTGCAGGAGCGCACAGGAGCGGAGCTCCGGCAGTAAGGAACTCAGGGGGTGGGCACATGCAACCAGCCCCGCCCCCTGCTCCCAACAGCCCTCAGTTGGGCCATTGCATGTCCTCACCCCACCCAATAGCTAGCAATCCAAAACAGTCCAGTGGAGCCTGAGCGGTGGGTGTTGCCTTCTGACACACTTCCGGTGATGTCAGGGGGTGTGGCATATGCAAATAAGTTATGCTAATGCGTTATGCTAATGAGCTCCTGCACCTCTTTTTCTACGAAACGACCCCTGCTGGTGGGTGTCTTTCACATCATCGCATATCTAATCCTTTTAGATGCTGGGAACTGAACTCGGGACCTTCTGCATGCAAAGCACATGATCTACTACTGAGCCATGACCACTCTTCAAAGACCAGGGCTTCGAACCTTGTTGTCAAGCATTTTCCCACCCCATCTTCACCAGAAACCTGAAATGATAACCTTGGCTGAACCTCTGTTCCTCTGTAGTCTTCAAACGTGTTTTATACCTCTCCGTTTCTACTGGCAGTTTTAATCAACAGTGTAGCAGATGGTGAGAATCTGACATTAAGTTTGCAAATTTCACTTTTAGCCTTGTGGGATAACACTGCTGTAATATTCTAGTCTGTGGCTTACTCAGGATTCCCACCTACCCCCATCCCCTTCTCAGTAAAAGTGTGCATTTTATTTGCTGACCTAGCAATTTGCCCATCTTTCATTTTTAATTTTTTGCTCTGCTGATCCAAGCCTTCTTTAGCCCCGGCAGCAATACTGAAAAGGAGTCAGCGGTGTCTTTTTTCATTTAGGGGTTTTTTTAAAAAAAAACCCGAAAAAAACCCTTACGGAGATTTGTGATAGAGGGATCCAATGGTGTCACTGCTCTGAACCTGTAAACCGCTGGGATTGGCTGCTTCCCCCTACAAGGGTGGACATTTGGCCAATAAAAATATTTTGTAAGTTTTGTAAGTTTTTCTTGTATGGGGGAATTGGGGGAGGGGTGGAGAGATAGAAATGCCTTTCCTCTAGGCAGGCTGGATATGCCGTTCCATGCAAATCTATTGCTGTCTGGATGGAATCTATGATTGATGTATGGCTTGCTTGACTGGCACAGTGTTTTTCACATTGTGTTCTGGGGCTCCTAAATAAGAAGGTCACTAACGGCCATCAGGATTCCCTGAAAGACAGGCAGCACGCCTTTCACTTCCGCTCTTCTCCTGTGATGTGCTGTCACACAGGGGCTCTGTT